ATACTTCTTTCTCTCTCTGTTTGTTTGAAAAAGCCTCTGAAATCCTCTAAATTTGCCATTTTGTACCGATTCTATGAATTTTTCTGTTTTTACACGTGATGCTATATGTTAAGTGAATTATTTATATTAGTAATCTAAACGTTATTATATACACAAATATTTTTAGTATATAGTTATAGAAGTTATAGATTATAGATATAAATTTGTAAAAATTAAGATTTATTTTAAAAATTAAAATGTTTTTATAAACAAAAATATATAGTTAAACCTCTATATAATTATTTTTTTTTGTTTTTTTTTATTGGTTAAGGATACCTCTTTGGCCTAAAGACTTTTATTAGAATTTAAAACAATATTTAGTTACAATGATGATATATCAAGCCACACATGCACTTTTGATACCTAATTTAAATAGTTCGCCCAAAGGTTCTATACTATCTGCCGTATTTGCATTCCAACTAGAGAGGCACACATTTAAACTATTTGGTTCTAACTTTCTATTATTTAACTATCTAACCCTGGGTTACCTTACTGTTTATGTATAGATTTTGGATTACTCTTGCAAAGGATATATCGACTACCTTAGAACTTGCTAACCATTTTTTGCTAATCTATCTTCAAGGTAAATCTAACAGAGCAGTACATGTTCCACACATGTATTCACCTGCATGTTTAGTAATTTCTTCCCAATTAGATATATTGTTTGCTGCTATTATATTCGTATTTTATGTCACCTTTTGGAGTACTGCTATAACACAATCTGTATTTCAAGCCCAACCTTTTTAATTAGTTGCCTATTATATACTTCTTGACCTTATCCAGTTTACAACAACCCTGATACCCACATTCAGACTATCTTCTTACCCAGATTCTTTATTAGTCCCTCTCTTACTTCTAGCTAGCAATCTAGAAAAATTGGTTTACTCAGACTTTAGATATCTAAAGGATGCCTTCCTCTTGGTTTATACTTTCGGAGTATATGTTCTTTTTCTTTAGTGTAACAACTTGGTGGTTTAGCTGATGTGTTCTTCACTATAAGACCTAGTAGCTTAGTTTTTCAATCTCGAACCTCGGTTCGAATTAAGCCCTCTTGTAATACCATCAAAGATTACCTCAGATTTATTGTGTCAAAGCTTCTATTACTAGATAGTGTAGCCGAAATTACAGATTTAATTCTAGATTCAACTAATAAGCATAGCTATTAACCAAACACAGGCCTATTTTTCAAATATTATTGTTTGTGGGATTCAAACTTTAATTTGCTACTTGAAAAGATTGATGACTAGACTATTATACTAAGTTGCCACATTTCTATAATTACTGTATTTCTTTTATAATTATAAAATCAATATAATTATACTTTTATTTTACTAATTTTTTTTATCTTTTATATATTATATAAACACAATTTTTTTTTTTTTTTAAATGTTAATAGGTCTGGCTATAATTAATTTTATTTATAAGATAAAAGCCCAACTCTACTTGGTTTTATGTTGTAGTGCGAAATCTAGCTTAGGCCTAAGTACAACTCCATCTTACCAGATTACAGATAACTGGAATTATCCAAAAAAATTTTATAAAAAATAAAAATGAACTGTAACTAAAAAGGGAAAATAGAACAAAAAATAGGAAAGAAAAAAGAGTAAAGTAAAAAAATAAAAAAAAAACAAAAAAGAAAAACAGAAAAAAATAAAAAAAAACATTTTATAGAACAATAATATAAAGTTAAGAGAGATTGCATTTCTCTTCATAACAAAAATACATTATTATAACCTGTGCAAGGCTAAAAAAATTATATAACAAATGCAACAATTATATATTTTTACTGTAAAGCTGTGTCTAAATATATAATATTTTTCTGATCTATAACTGCATTCGAATATCTCTTTAACCAGAGGTTCTGAACTGATTTTCCCGAGGTAGTATTGTATTCATAAGTAAACACATCATATAGTTGCATTCTACCAAGTTTGTTCAAATTTGAAAAGTAAACAATGTTGATTTTTTGGAAAGAATAAGCCAATTCTCCACTTTTTATAAAAATTTTAAAAGACTGATGGAAAAATAATAGAAGAATCACTTGACCAAGTAAAAGAAGTGCGGCTTTAAAAAAACATATATTTTGTTGTTTCTCTTGTGTTTTTTTTTGAAATAATGATCTAAAAGCTTTGTTAAAGAAGTTGGGCTTTGCCTACACTTCAAGATTTTTTATACAAGGGTGCCATCTGCCAGTTATCTTGTACAATAACACTCTTGGCTTGTATGCCAAACATTCTTTAGAAGAGTTCTGGTAGCACAACATTGACCTATAGACAACCAACTAAGTAGGCCACGACTCTTTAACAAAAATTTAGTTTTTCTATTTAGTGGGAAATTTTGAATCAAGTAATTGTCAAAAAGAGTTTTTTTCTATATAAACACAATTGCTTTATAGTCAATATTATATTTTTTTATTAATTATTTGTATAAATCATTACTAGTGAATTTTATCACTAGTAATTTCTTAAAATTTTATTTAATTATTTTAAAAAACATATATATATTATATTATTCAAATATTAATTTTTTTTTACAAAATATGCTGTAAACTTTATTTTAAATTAATTCTAAAACCTTTTAAAAAACTAATATACTGTATATTATTACAATAAAATTATATTACAAAGATAAATACAAAATATCTACTCAAAATATCTACCCTTTTCTATTATTTTTACCAATAGTTTTTTTTTAATTACAATATTTTAAAATAACTTATATTACGTATATATTTAAAAAAACTAAATAATAATTTTTATATAATATCTAATTACGCATCAATTAAATAATAAAATTAAATTTTATTATATTTATACTTACCGATAGTTATATAAAAATTTTGAGTTTTATATATTATTTTGAGTTTTAAAAACATCCCATGCATTATTTAAAGTTGAAAACACTCCATTTGCCAAAAGTTTTTGTTCAATTGTAGTAAAACTACTAAGCTATATAAATTAATTAATATTAATTTAATAAGGTTTAATATAATTACAGTAATAGTAATTTAAAAACAAACCTTATCTGGGTGAACCTTTCCAATAGCTTTCATATACTTAACCTTGACTTGCGCAGGGGTTACCAGTTCATGCAAACCTATAGATTTCCAACCTAATCCTTCCCAAAGTACAATATCCAAACTACTAATTAATGCTCTAAGATTTGTTTCTTTTCCACCTTTCCATTGCATTAATTTTTGATCAACCTGATCTTTACATCTCAATTTTTCCGCATCTTCGACTTCTTGTTGTCGCGTTTGATTACGTAGTTTTACTACAGCAGGATTATTTGGATCAACTGTGGTTTCGATTACCGGACTCGATGAATATTGCTTTATTGTAGTTGGATCAATAAAACCGAATTCATTAAGCTGTGCGACAAAAGTATTTGATGAAGTTGTATATGATGGCATGTTTGTAAAAGTTTGTGTACTAGAGGGTACAAAGTCATTATCAAATCCATTAGAATTTGAACTCTTCTGCGCTTCATTCGATGACATACTGATTGCTTGTTGACAACGCCTCAAACCGTCACTGACTTGTTTATTGCCATTTGGATCAATATTCATTAATTTTTTATAATCATCTTTAGCAATATCATACTTTTCTATTGATTCATAAGCTGAAGCACGACGAAGAAGTGCTTTAACATATTGAGTTTTTAGGTCTATATTAACCCCTGGTGGCGGTGGTAATGTGTAATCATCTATTAATTGAATTGCCAAAGTGCAATCATCAACACATCCGCGTTGATTACCATTTTTGAACTTTGCGGTCGCTCTATTGTTATAAAGAACAACAAGTTGTATATGTTTTGAAGGTAAACAATCAATCGCGAGAGAATAAAATTTTTCAGCTTCATCAAATTGACCAAGTTTGAATACTTCATTCCCTTTGGTTTTGTTAAATTCCGAATTACGCATCTGTTCTGGAGAGGCATTAATTATTGGTCGAGGAACTGGTACAATTTTAGGAGTGTTATTTATCAGAGTTGGTTCATCAACTTTTGATGATGAAGAATTTATATTGGGACGTCGTCGAGCTGGTGATACATATGAAGAATTATCAAAATTTATATTTGGCTTTGTAGAACGTGAAGGAACAGCGGGTTTTGGAGACTTTGATTTTTTTGAATCAATAAGGTCGAAATTAGATACGTGATTATTTTCGTCGCTCCTTTTAAAGTCCGAAGATATTGGAGTAAAATGATCTCTATCAATAATTGGTTGATCCTCATCACTACTAGTATCTTCATAACTATCATGATATTTTTCCAATCGACCATATCTATCACCAAGCCTATTCCCAAACTTATTTAAACCGAGATTTTCACTACTAGTATTATCACAACTACTAGGAATTTTTTGTAATCCTCCATGTTTATCACTAGCCTTTCCACCAAATTTATCATGAGGATCACTATATTTTTCGCTTGAATAATCATCAGATTCTTCTTTTAACCATCTTGGCCTTCTTGTACCCTCTTCTTCAGAATCTTCTTGTTGTAATTGAAGTTCCACTAGAGCTCTATTTACTTTATCTTTTGACTGCTTATATAAAGCACTCGCTTTCTTTAATGCAGTTAAACCAAATTCACTTGCGGTACTAATAAATTTTTCTTTCGATTGATAAAAATTTGAAGAAGTTGAAGAAGAAGATCGATCACTACTTTCACCATCTGAAACATTCTTTCCATAAATGTTACGTTTTGGTACGCTAAATGAACTACTCTTAGATGAGTAACGCCCACGAGATGTAAACCCTGGTTCACTATCATCTTCATAATCACCATCGTTATCATGATGTGGAAAATTATTGTTAGACTTTCGTCTACCTGAACCTAAATCTTGTTTAGTTTTAAGAGTATCATGTTTATCAAATTGTCTTTTTCGAAGCTGATCTTCGGCTTCACGCTGTTGAAAAAGTATTTCAATAGCAGATTGAATATCCTCTCTACTGTCTGTAGCAGCAAGAGCAGCTTCAGCTTCAGAAGCAGAAAACCCCATTTCGACAATTTGAGCAATTAAATGATCTTTTGAATCATCATAAGAAGATCGACGAGATTCAGAGATAATTTTTTTGTTAGTTATTACAGATTTAGGATATATATCTGAAGGATCTATTTTATCATCATCAACTTTTGTTGTTGCAGCGAAAGAAGTCGATTTAGGAGGTTTATTAAATATTCCAAAATCAAGTAAATCATCTGTTGATGATGACTTCCAATATAAATAGAATAAGCAATTTCAAAAATTTAAAAATATTAAAATTGATAGTTTTATAAGACCAATAAAATGAAATACCGGGTTAATATCCTTAAAAGTAGTTGTATTATTAGACGTGAAATTTGTATCCCATTTATCTATACTATTTCCAGACGGAGTTGATTGTGTCAAAAGGGTCTTATTCTTCCTAGAAATCAAAGAAAAAAAAAAAAAAAAATCAACATTTATAGAAATAATTATAATATTTTAGTAAAGTGAACATACAAAGGATTATTTTGAGCAGTTTCAAAACTTCCAAATTCGCTTGATGAAGTAGTCAAAATATCATCAAATAAGTCGCCTGATGGTTGTGGTAAAGGAGAAGAAGAACCTGAACCCTTTCTTTCTAATGAATCCCAAAAATTTAACTGATCATAATGTTTAGTAATTCGTTGACGCTCTTCTTGTGCTTTGCGATGTTGTTCTTGCTCTTGTAATTTAAGTTGTTCATGCAAAGTCAAAGTTGTAGATTTTTTATTAAAAGGAAGTAAGTTGTCGAAGGCTTCGGCATTATTCTTTGCTGGAGATAATTTTGGAGATTCAGCAGGAGAGCTGTTTAAAGGAGATCGGCTTAAAGGAGATCGATTTAAAGATCTATTTAAAGTAGAGTTCGTGGATGTAATATTGTTTGATGCAGAAGACAAATATACGGGAGAATTAGCGGAAAGATTATTCTTTAGGGGTGTGCTTGCTGATTTCGTTGTTGGAATTGTAGTTGAACCTCCACGCATTGCGTTTAATGGAAGATTATTGTTTTTTTGATTCGGAGGTTTTGTCGCATTCGAACCCCAAATCAAATCATTAAGATCCTCCATGATTAAAATTTTAAAATGACCTGAATAAAAAAGAATTTTATAATTAATGCAACTGCTTTTTATTCGTTATTAATTGATGTTTCTATTCAATTCTTCTACCTATTGAGAAAATAATAAGTTGACGGTTGTCAAGATACTTTAGATCAAAATTATGCTACATAAACAAAACAATGCTCGATTAACTTCTTTATGTGGCTATGAAATATGAATCTACTTTGCCACAATTTTGAAACGCGGTTAAGTTTTATTGGCGAACATAAAAATTATGTATTTTGATTGGTAATATTTCATGTGTAGACATTACTCGAACTTCTTTAATAGACTCCACGTGGTTTTTTTTTTAAATTATATACATACGTACAATTATTTGGATGTACGTAGTAATTTTAGATTTAACCAAGCATTTAATATTTTTTAAAAAAAAATGGTTAGCTTAGAGTCTAAAGGCTCATTAAATGGTAAATACAGTATTATGGAATATTACTAATTTTACCTAAAATACTCTATTGTGGACTATCGCCATTTATTACAGTTAAATCAGTTCACAAATATTATTTATGTAATTTATATTTATTATACATAACTTACATTTTAGTAATTAAGATTTGATTGCATTATTATATCATCGGTACATACGTATAAACTAATGATGCCGACATAACACTATGTTTTAGGTTTTCACGTGGTAAAACTGATTTTAACATATGGGGGCTTTGCCTTGAACATGACCTTACGGTACATGATACCGTAAGGTCATTTTCAAGGCAAACCCCATATATCAGTTTAAATTGGTTTATAGTTACAGTATAATTAAAGATAAAAATATTGATCAAAATTTAAACTATCGAATAGCGTAAAAGTTAAACTATTATGATACAGAACCAACGTCAAAATAAATAACTTAACAATTCTACTTATTCAAATAATATTGATAATAATCCAGTTGATACAAGCGATACTAACGATTTTTCAGTTTCTTCAATGTATAAAAAGTCTAATTCTGGTGGTCAGCCTCGATCAGAAGTATGGGATGACTATAATATTGCTAGAAAAAATGAAAATTACTATTATATTCGATGTAAATATTGTTCTATGCCTGGCAAAGATGAATACCAACCAATATGGAATCACATTTGGCTAATTAACACTCTAATTGTCCATAACGATAATGCAATTGAAAAATTTATTGGCAGTATAAAATTGATAATCGACATAATGATTATTATTGCTCGGCACAATCAAACAAAAATTTGATAATCAAATACTTTTGATTAAGCCGGACATCAAACGATCGCAAAATACATATAGTATGCGATCCGAGCACATCACAAATCAACACATTTAGTTAATACAAATAATTCAGAATCTCTTTCTATAAATCACCATCAAGCAAAGGTCATGGAAATATGGACTAGTCTTAGGAATTGAGAATAATAATAATTAGCTTTAAGAAGTTATACAATTAATGTTAAGCGCAAATATTAATTAAAATTAATTTAATATTCACCAGCCTAAGAATTTTTAGGGTTAGGGTGCAGTTTTAAGATGGAGGGGTTTGTATATTAGGTGGTTCTCGTGAGGTTTTCAGGGTCCTGAACTTTACTTAGAGTACCCGACCCTGTTTACTTAGTACGCTTTTGAGATATAGCACCCTGGTGAATTTCACCTCCGGTAGTGTTAAAATACTCTTAGTTTTAGTTTTATAACTTACACGCCATCAGATATATATAGCTTTATCTGTTATGTTAAAGAGTACGTATAAATTTAACGTTAATACTTGACGTTAATACGTACTACGTAAAAGTCTATTTTAGATGATTTTATTACCAGCCAATAAAACCATGGCTAAATGGCTAATATACAACTGCGGTCTCTAAAAATTTGATTATACGGATCTTCAAAAAATTTAACCGTGATCCGTATAAGTTCTAATTTGAGCTTCTTTGACACGTAAAATCAAATGGCGAACCTTATAGATCTTACTCCGGACGTCGATTTAAAGAAGTTTGTTGAAGAACATAAAAACTCTGCAATTGTTCTCAACTTTTGGGCCGAATGGGCTAATGCATGTGTTCAAATGAACGAGGTCTTTGCTGAACTTGCAAAAAAATATACAACTCTCAAGTTCATTAAGGTTGTTAAAGTGTTTACCTTCTTTTTACTGCTATATACAAAATTTGTTAAATTATTTTTGGTATTTACAAAAAGATTGAAGCAGAAAAATTTTCTGATATTTCTGAATCTTTCGAAATCGCTGCTGTGCCGGCTTTTATAATTCTCAAGGTACGCCCTGATTTACTCTAAAATTGTGAAAGAACTTTATTTATTCCTATTTTCTGTTGGATCTCTTAAAGAATGGAAAAATTTCTGACCGTGTTGACGGTGCTAATGCTCCCGAGTTGACGAACACTGTTTCTAAATATGCAAAGGCTACTACTGGTTCTACAATAAAGAATGCTTCAGATCTGCAAAAAACAAATCGTAAAGTTGATTTGAATACTTACTTAAAAGAATTAACAAATTCTTCTCCGGTGATGGCTTTTATTAAGGTAAATTTTATTCACTTATTGTATAATCATTAAAATTTTTATTATTAATTTATTAATTTATATAATTTGTCTCTTTACATAAAAGGGTACACCAAGTCAACCTCGATGTGGTTTTTCAAGGCAAATTATCGAAATTCTTAATGATCATAAAGTTAAATTTGGTTCATTCGATATTTTGTCCGATGAAGAAGTTAGACAAGGTAGATATGATTTATATTGCTAATCTAGAATTATCGCTTTTGTTAACAAAAAAATCCTTTATAGGTTTGAAAGAGTATTCCAAATGGCCCACCTATCCACAGGTTTTTATTTTATTATTCGCATTTACTTTGAATTTTATTCATATAAGTTAACTTATTTCAATTTCTTAGTTATATATTAGCGGTGAATTAATCGGTGGATTAGATGTTGTTAAAGAAATGATCGAGAACGGTGAATTTCAAACCATGGTATCAAATGTTGCCAATAGCGAAAATTGATTTACTCAATTAATGCGGTTACGAAACTTGTTGTATTACCGACCATAAAGATGTGGTTGTATTTATTACCAAGATCACGAAAATATCTGCACGTGCGATAGATGACGATTATGTAGCATACAAACCGAATTTTATGTCATTTAAAAAGCGTTAATTATCATAATAAATTATTTTCAAGAATGTGTTGAGGTTAGAGTTGGTGTTTTTAGATTAGAGTTTGAAACGGTTTTTATTTACATTATGCCAAAATCAGGTTTACTATATAAAAAATAAAATCAGTTCCAAAATCTAATTCTGATATTCAATTACACCTTTTAAAGGATTTCTGAATATTTTAACATTCTATTTAATAATATTAAAAATTTTAAAATTTTTATATTTTATTATATAATATATTATATATATAATTTCATCAGACACTTTGCTGTTTCTAGTTTTTTTTTAAAAAAATGAATTTCGCAAACTAGCTATACTATTTAATGTATTTTGATATAAGAAATTCAGATGGCTTCGGCAACTATGAGAATTAATTTCGCCACTAAAAATTAATGTTGACAGACTAATCGCCCAAATAATAATTTACTAAGACTCATAGATAATAGGCGATCTATTTCTCATTAAATTTAACGGATACCTGTAATAAAACTAAACTGGATCGCACCTCTAGTTTTTGATTTATCATATAATGAAGAAATATAAGATTTGGAGAAAGTTAGATCAAAAAATAAGACAAGATATATATTTTTTTTAATGTTCAATATGTAAATTTTTATAAAAAAAAAGACAGTATTAAAAAAATATAAAGAGATACAAAAGCTAAAAGTATATATTGCGAAAGGCGGTATATAAAGAGATACAAAGCTAAAAGTATATATTGCGAAAGGCGGTATATAGCCAGCCGCCTAAGCTCTACATAAACATCATTCAGGTCAGTTAGAATGACGTCATGTAGAGCATTTTCAACAGCTTCATACGCACCGGGCGAGAAGCTGTATTCCCACTTTTTATATTTGGAATTATACCTAATCTTGGCGAGGGCCACCACCAAGCCGATTGTCCACCTGGGAAGGGTGCTAAGCACCCCTTTTAGCTCGTCTACCGTCGGGCAACCTATAAGATATAATCGTTATTGAATATTTTCATTCATCCGATAGCTTACTATGATCAGATTGCCAGAATATTTGGTAGTGACTAAATTATTTGCCAAACACCTTTGTTGTTCGGCATACTACGTAATCACCATCAAAAACTCTACTATGTACCAATAATTGCTTATCTGTTTTAAATTTAAATATGCTATTCCCAAGTTTTTTTGGGACCCAGAAGTTAGCATATTAAATTTTAAAGTCAGATAATGGGATTACTTTTACAAATAATTCCCCATTATTTGGTGCAAAGCATTAGATAAATATATATTACAGTACCTATTTGCTGTGAGCTCCAATATTTATATTGTATAATAAAGGGGATGATCCAAAATATTCTCTCTTTTATGTCAATCCCCTTGTCTCCCAACTTTCTAAATAATGATAAATATGAGTTAATGTGTCATCATTGTGTAACTATAGAAGAATATTCATGTTTGAAACGTGACCATGATGAACTTTCAATTGCCGAAACAGCTGAATCTCAAATATTTGCACTGATAATACAACTCTACATATGCTCAATGAGAAATACACACCCTGTTATGGTGCAAAATACACCCTTGCTCCTTAAAAACTCCGCTATCAACAAATCCCTTTTGCCTTAGTCGATATTTCCTCTTCGAATTCTTCCACAATTTTATCACCAACAACGTATGGCATCTTTTAAAATAACTAGTAAATTTTTTGGGATAAAAAAAACTTGTGTAATTATCACTCATTATAAATATATGAAGGTATCTTTTTTAATGGCAACCTCTTAAATTTAACACTTTTCTAAATTCAAAAAAACGCGTTAAGATATTTTCACTTATATCAAAATAAACAATCTTCTAATCTTCTAATATATATTAAAATACGAACATGTGTAACAGTTGCTATTTTCCAGATCTGTCTGAATAACGAAAAACTCACAGAACTGGCTCAACCGCAACCGCCGCTTTGCGGCACGTGTCTGAGCCACGGGTATATAAACTATGATAATATTTGATAATATTTTTTTTAAAAACGTTTAACCAACTTTTTTTGTTCTCACTTTTCAGTTTTAGGTGTTACATTTTGTTTTCTTCGCATTCTCAGGTGGGTTTCACTTGTTTACTTGAATTAGCCTTCTGATTTTTTTGGGTAATGCTTTTTCTTTTCTTTGTGTTCAACTAATGCTCATTTCTTTTATCAGATGGGCTTCACTTGATTTCTTGAAAATAACCTTCTGTTTTTAAACATTGTTTTCGTTTTCTTCGTATTCAAAGGTGGGTTTCGCTTGTCTTTTTGGAATTAGACTTTTGCTTTGAGGTGGTGTTTTTTGTTTCATTCGTGTTCAATTAACCTATTTCTTTTTTGGAATTAATCTTCAGTTTTGGGCGTTGTATCTTGTCACTTTGTATTCTCTACTCGTCTTCTTGGAATTGGCCTTCCGGTTTTGAGTGTTGTTTTTTGTTTTCTTCGTATTCTAAGGTGGGTTTTGCTTGTTTTCTTGGAATTAGGCTTTCAGTTTGGGTAATGTTTTTTGCTTTTTTCGTATTCAACTAACGTTTATTTCTTCTTTCAGGTGCGATTCGCTTGTTTTCTTGGAACTATCCTGCGTTGTTTTTGTTTTCTTTACGTTTTAGAGTGGGTTTCACTTGTTTTTTAATACCCGTTTCTTTTTTCAGTTGGGTTTCACTTCGTTCTGGTGTGAATATACTAGCACATTTTTCTTTCTAGTTAACAATTCAATTGACTTCGTCGTGTCGGTGCGGGTATTAGTGGTTGTTCAAGTGACGTTATTTTGCGGCTTCATTGTTGTTGACTTGCTGCTGCTATTGGTGGTGGCTTATTCTCCGTCGATGTGTTCTCTGTTACTAGTAAATTTGCACTGAAATTGCTTAGTATGTTAAATTTTTTATATAAAAAAATCAAAAATGTTATTTTGCTATCTGGGTTACGTTAGGATCATCGGGATGGTTCCTAATAAAAATTCATATTAATGGTTTTTTTTTTATTCTAACAAAAAAATCAAAAGATGCCACACATATGATATATTGTTGAAGAATTCGAAGAAATATCGACTTTTGGCAGAATATAAAGTGAAGATGAAGAGTAGAAGAGAGTGAGTATTTCTCATCAAGTACCATATAGCACTGTTTAAAGTACCCTCTGTGTAAAGTACCTCTAACGTTTTTGAAATGTGATTTTTGTATTATACCCCGAGTACTTTAAATAGCATAAACTTGTGTAGAATGTAAAGTACCCCTTTATTTATGATAATCAAAAACTAAAAAAAAATTGACACATCAAACATGTCTTTACAACTTGTTTTTCAAATCTATTCGATTTCACTATTATTACTAGCAGGCTCAAGTTCACCCTGATCAAAACTTGCACTACTGTGATCTTCAATTTCTTCAGTCCAGTCATTTTTATACTCAAGTAAGTCTTCTTCGTAAATGTTTTTTTCGTAAATGTTTTCTTCAAGTAATTCCTCTTTTTGATTAGCTTCATTTTGACTAACAATAAAATTGCTTTGCTGATTTTCACCCGATACTCTATCATAATCAAAAATCCACTCATCTTCTGAACCATCTCTCGCAACGGAAATTTCACAACATTTAAATGAACGTCAAATTAAGTTTAAATCAAGAGATTCTCACGCTTTCTTTACCCATTCAGCAAGTACTGCATAAGATGGTTTTTTAATATAGTTCTTAGATGTTAATTCATAAATTTCTTCTGACATTCACTTGTTATATAGTTCACGGACCTTTAAAAATTGATTAGAAAAAAAAAATTTATTAAATTAAAAAAAAAAATAATAATTATACCTTATCTTTAAAAACTTTATTAATTGAAACATCTAAAGGTTGCAATTTTTTTGTTAAACCACCAGGAATCACAGCCAGATTTGTGTTTTTTTTTAGCAAACCTATTTTTAACAAGATCGACTAGGTGAGCATGAAAAGAATCAAGAATTAGAAGAGAGTGTAGATTGCTTAAAAGTTGTCTTTTTGTCCAAATATTTTCTATCTACCAAAGTATCTCCGTTTCGTTGGCCCATCCCTTTTCATTTACATGAATAAACACACCTTGAGGAAATTTTTCACAGAGCATGTTTTTTAGTTTAAAAATACAAACTGGTGGTAACTTAGTTCCATTAGCCATGCAGCTAAGTATAACAGTAAAATTTTTTTTCTCATGGCCTGTCATACGAATACTAACAGTATGAGCTCCATTTTTTTCGATAGTAGTTGGACTAGGTGAGTCAAAAGAAAAGGGCGTTTCATCCATGTTTCTCATTAGTGACAAGGGATAGTCATGCTGAATACGTCTATATAAAACAAAACTAAGAAAAAGCTGTTGTTCTTCTTCCAAGGCTTTGGGTAAATGTTGTGCGATAGTTGTACAGTGATGATTTGACAAATCATATCTATCTAAAAAACCATCAAGCCACTTATTTGAGAATTTGAAATCTTGAATCTCAGGAAGACTTCTAAACTCATCTGTTTTAGCAAATGAGGATGCCTTGGTTACTACTAATGAGCATGTAATAGGATATTGGTTTTGGCGTCGTTCAATAATCCAATTAAACAAGACATTTTCTAGTTGTGGATATTTTGGTGGCTTTCCTTTATGTAATTTGAGAATTTTTGGAGAAGCTTTAACTAACTCGGCCTTCTTGTTTTTCCAGTCTCTTACTTGTTTTGGTTGGATATTGAACTTTCAGGCTACTTTCTTATTACTTTTTTTATTTTTTTCTTGATAAGTAATAATCATCAATTTTTCTTTGGCATTCCATTGTCTTCATAACTTTTTAGTTGTGCGTGCTCTCAAGGCACTTTTATTACTAGAAATGACCATGTTTACAGAATACAATTACAGAAAAAAAAATCAATGTTTTATTATATATAAATTTTAATTCTTACATTATTTTAAGTAGAATTGCCTGTGGTTCATATGCGTTTATTCAAAAAAAAATAAGTATAAAGCAACGTGTTAGTAGCAAAATGTGCTAGTAGTGAAACCAACCCCTGAGAAATATATAGTACCCTCCCCTGAGAAATGTATAGTACCCCTCCCGTCTATAGTACCTCCCTATGTAATGTACCCCCCAGATCACGTGTGGAATGTAAAGTACCCGGGGTACTTTAAACAGTGCTATATGGTATATGTCAAATTGTTGTATATCCGACTATGCTGCCACATCAGTGTAAAATATCAGAGATGAAAGCTCGTCGTGGCCCGCTGTTTCGGCAGCTGAACATTCTCTCAGTTACTTGGTGTTCAGAAATGGTTGGGCCCTACCGGATTTATGGTGAACAGGATATATACAACTATGGAATTGAAAGTGCATTGTGGCCACGTTTTCAAACGTGAACGTTCTTCTATAGTAGTACAATGATGACACATTACTAATGTTTTCTATCATTTAGAAATCCGGGTGACAAAGAAATTGATCTCATCGGGCGTCCCCTACAGTGCAATGTGGAAACTGGAAAACGCAACAATTAGGTACTGTAATATATAATTATCTAATGCTTTGCACCCAATAATGGGATAAGTAATAGATATTCCACGAGCTGTTGTGAATATCATGAATTAGCACGGCGAAGCCGTGGTAATACATGGTGTTCACGGCACACATGGAATATCTGATATATTTCACGGTTCCTATGCCCGTAGCATTTCTAATTAAAATTTTTACTGATGACGTAATGTCCATGAAATAATTTTTGATATTTTCACAGCATTACGTCATCATAAAAATATCAACAGAAATGCTCACGGGAGAATATTAGAGGCCGTGAAATATAAAAATATTCGATAACGATTATATCATAGGTCGCTCAACCGTAGATGAATTAAAAGAGGTTATTAGTACACTTCCTAGATCGACATTTGGCTTGGTAGTGGCCCTTTCTGAAATTCAAGAATCAAAGATGGGAAAGCAGCTTCTTGCCCGGTGCATATGAAGCTACATCATTCTGACTTTAAGGACTTTTTTTGTAGAGCTTGTGTGGCTGGCATATACTGTACCGCCTTATAAATGTACAAATTTAGATGTTACATATTTTTTAATAATTGTTTTTTTTTAAAATAAAATTTATATTGTCAAATCAAAAATTAGAGGTGTGATTTAAATTTAGACTTTTATATATCCCATATTTTACAGAATTTTTATAATATATATGAAATATATTAATAAGAATTTTTAAAATTTTAATATTACTATAATTTTCCGAAGGACACTACTAGTACACCGATATATAATTTGGTAGAAATAAAATTAAAAAAAAGCTTATCGAAATGCAAAACTACTGTTCCTGATGGATCGTCGGTACTGTTCTTGATGGGACGAAAAAAAAAATCGATTTGCATACCGTTCCTGATAGGGTTCTAAAAACTAAACTACTATCAAAATATAAGGCTATTGCATAAAAATTTGGCAGTCCACTATTACCCCAGAAATTAGTATTCAATCATTTAATTAAGTTTTTCAACCCAAATTTTCTTACCAAATTCGCGGGAAATGGCGCCCATGGTCATTATTTTAAGACACGTATTTCAAAGAAAGCTAATATTTAATTTAGCCGAATGCAACCATAATTTTAATGTTAATAATTCTTTTGCTAAGTTAATTATTAGTTCTCTTCAAATTACTTGTCTCGAATAACTCCTATGGAAGTTTTTCGCGTAGATACGGTACCGTATTATTTTAAGACCAATATTTAGGAAAGTTGAAATCACGTGAATCAATCACGAGTCGTGAATTAGCATTCGCATTATAACTAAGCATCGCCATGAGAATAAACTTTGGGGTTCCTAAGAACACTATCAGGAACGGTATGTAAATTGTTTTTTTTTTTCATCCCATAATTATAAAAAAAAATTTATTAATGATTTTCACTATGTTTGTAATTAAATATTCATTAAACACCCTCTATTCATTTCCCGATCACTCAAAAACTTCGTTTTTGATTCAAGTTATTATTATTATTTTTAATATATCAAAAAGGACACTTGAAACAATGGTATTTTATGCGATTATAGTTAGATCAGCTGTTTCTCAGACTAATAATATAAAAATAATTGACATCTGATATAAATATACTATTGTTAAACTGCAATCTTGTAACGTAAATCCAGTAGTATAAAAATGCTGTGCTTAATGATCAGTAACCACAGTTTGAGACCTAAATCTCTAAATGTGATTCTTCGTTTATTCATGTTTCAATTTTTAAACAAATTCCAATAAATATTAAAAATGTTCACGGAATTTAGATTTTTCTGGAAGTGTAATTTTAAAAATAATCCTAATTTAAGTTGGAGAAGTTGATGCTATGAGGTTCGGAGTGGAAATATTATTATTATTATTATTATTATTATGATTATTATTATCCACATCGATCACATTGTTAGGTCTTATGAAAGCAATTGGAATCTCCCCCATTATTACCCGCGAACTATCGTGGCCATTTTCAACAACTTGCAATTCATTATTCATTTCTGTTGAATTTGATATGTCACTTAAACTTGTATTTAAAGGAGTTGTCTCAATAGACCCTTGTGACTTTGGCCTGACGACCTCTAACTGATTACTTTCCTCGTTAATGTGCAACATACCATTTTCAACACTTTCGGCCATCGCTTGTATGGTAGATGATATAAATTTCGATCTTTCTTCGGGCGATAAAAGTGGGAACACAAAACTACGCACATCGACATCCGAATCTTCAGCAAGTTTATTTATTAAATAAATTATTTGAGAAGGGCGAGTTGTCGGATCTTGGTAATATTGCTCTGAAATTTAAAGATATATATATAGATTCAATGAAATTATAGTATTTAATAATCAGCAAGACATTAAATATTTACCTAGTTGACAAAGTTCTCCAACAAGTCTCCCTAGTGCAATTCTGACATTCACCACACTATCTGACGAAAGTTTTTCCAAACCATGTAAAAAATACTTCTCAAAGTCAGTTTTAGAATATTCAGTAGAAATAAGTGCGCTACATATTTGTACATAACTGTATAAAGCAAGAAAAGCTGAAGATTAATCATATACATATAATACCCATAATAATGTAAAAAAAAATTACATCTTACACTACTCTGCCTCGAAATCCGGAGTCAGAAACAAAACTACACACTCGATTTATCATATCGTGAAAGCATGATTCATCATTACGTATAACTTCAAAAAGAGCCGGAAACTAAACAAAAAAATAAATTTAGAGCAATGATAACAATTATTTAAAGAAATTTATGTATTTCTCGATTGCTTACACTAGCAACTGCAGTTTTTCTAACACTAGCTACTTCATCTTTAACTGCTCGTATTGTCAGCGGTAATATATGATTTAATACGCATTGTTCATCAAATAATCGACATAATGCAGGTATTTGCCTGAACAGATTGTAAATATGAGATTATATAGAAATAAATATCAGAGAATCAATAATGTATTGGTGTTAGCAATACTTTGTGATCTCATCTCTTAATCGCCAATGATTTTTAACTCCATCCCAAACATCATTCAACGATGGCAAATAATTGTTGCGAGTAGACTGTGGTAAGCATTCGATAAACGCTGCAAGGTGCACTATAAGCCCAGATTTAACCTCATCAATGTCATCCAAGTAATACGTAAAAACATTAAGTAAATCATTTTCTGTCTTCGTTGGACCAATGACTTTCGCTATCTCGTGAAGCGAACAAGCCAAAGTTCTCCGTACTTTAATCTTGGAAACATATCACGTTTATGTTTAGTGTTATAAATAATAAAATTTATAAATAAGCAAAAAAAAAAGAAAAAAAAAGATTTCCAACCTGCATATCTCGAGTCAAAGGAATATATGTATCTTTCAAATCATCCCAACTGCTTTCTCCCAAAGTCAAAACGACAGCTAATATTTTAAAGGATCAATAAATGCAAATCATCAGGAAGCTCATAACAAATAAATCTATATGATTTGATCATCTCACCGGGAAAATTAAATGCACATATAACTGGACGTTCCGGATCTCTCTGTCCAAGATTGCTGTTATATGTACTACCAGTAACTCCGTTACTTGGATTGCTTTCCCTGACCGGGCCAAGGCTTAAAAAATGGTGTACTAAACTTTCAGGAACTTTGCCATCAGGCTGAAAAGTAGCAATCAATTCAC